TTTTACCTGCCTATACACCCCAATTGTATACATAGGGGGGCCCCCCGAGGCCCCTCCCTCTATTTTTCTATTTTTCTTCTTCTTCTTCTTTTTTTTTTAATTAATTAAATAAATAAAAGTAAATATGTCTTTAACAGACCCTTCTGCTGCTGCTGCTGCTGCTGCTGCTGCTGCTGCAACAGCAGCAATTGCTCCTCCTGCAGCAGCAGCAACAACAACAACTGCTGCTGCTGCTCTTCCTCTTGTTGCTGTTGCTCCTTCTTCTGCATCTACTGATGCATCTCCTGCACCATCATCTGTTTCTGTTTTATCTACAGCAGCAACAGACACAGCAGCAACAGCAGCAGCAGCAGCAGCAGCAACAGCAGCAGCAGCATCATCAGATGGTACGAAAGACTCCTCCGATCCATCATCATCAACAGCAGCAGCAGCAGCAGCAGCAGCAGCAACAGCAACAACAGCAGCAACAACAACAGCGCTATCATTATCATCCCCAGCAACAATATCATTATCCCCTGCAGTAACAGCAGCAGCAGCAAGAGCAGCAGCAGGAGCAGCAGCAGCAGCAGCAGGAGGAGGAAGACAAGAATGGCCATTTATTAGCTCACATTACCGTGATTGGCTATTTGCTGCAGCAGAGTTAGCAGCACGTCGTGCTGCAGTGCATGCATGCATAATAGAGGAGATAAAAAGAATAGATAATAAATATATAATAAATAATAATAATATATTAAGTATAGATAATTTGTTGCTGCTGCAGCAATATTTCGTGCTGCAGCTGCAGCAAATATATATACATAAAAAAAATATTAATTTATTTATTATTGAGACTGCATGCATATATATACATAGATTTTTTCTTTCTTCTTCCTTGATCAAGGAGGACCCAAGAATAACTATCTTTTCTTGTCTTATATTGGCATTAAAGGCAACAGATGCAGCAAGACATTATACATTAGGAGTATGTTTATTATTTACTCCTGTTCCTGCTCCTGTTGCTGCTGCTGTTGCTGTTGCTCCTGTTGCTGTTGCTGCGGTGGTTGTGTTGCTGTAACTGTTGTTGTTGTTGTGCTGCTGCTGCTGCTGCTGCTGCTGCTGCTGCTGCTGCTGCTGCTGTTGTTGTTGTTTTGTTATACATATATCTATAATAATAATATATCCTTATAATTGTTTTTCTTCCTTTTTTTCTTTATTATATAATAAATAAATTAATAAATAAATTAATTAATTAATAAACTATATATACATATAAATATATGTATATGTTAATAAATGTATATATAGATATATAGTATTAATTAATAAATATATTCCCCTAATAAGTATACACCTTATTAACAATTTTTTTTCTTTTTTTTTTTATTAAATAGATTGAATAAGGATGAATAAATTAGTTAATAAATAAATAAAATATAATTAGTAGATAAATAAATAAATAAATAAATATAAATATATATATATTTTTTTTGTATAGGATCTATTAGGAGATATAGGAGATGTAGATATATCTGCTGTTCTTTCCTTAGAATTACGTGTCTGTTCTTGTTTACGTTATCAATTATTAATAGTAAATACAAAAGATTCATTAAATCAATTATGTCTTCTTCTTGTTGATTATGCTGAACAATTATATCATAACAAGGTACAACAGCTCCAACAGCAGCAGCAGCAGCAGCAGCAGCAGCAGCAGCAGCAGCAGCAGCAGCAACAGCAGCAGCAGCAAAAGGTAGAGGAAGAGGAAGAAGGAGAGAGGATTGTAATTGATGGAGAAGAAGACAAACAGCAGCAACAGCAACAGGAAGAAAGAGAAGGATTAATTAACCAAAACAGCAGCAGCAGCAGCAACAACAACAGCAGCAGCAGCAGCAGCAGCAGCAGCAATAGTAACAAAAAGAATAATATATTAAATGATGAGGAAATGTATATAGAATTAAATAAGATAGAGGATGAGCATATAAATATATTAAATTTATTAATAAAATTACAGGAAGAAGCAGCAGCAACTTGTTTATTAATGCATGCATCTGCTGCTATACCTTTGCTGCATCCCCCTCCCTTATTAAGTCTTGCTGCTGTCTTGTATAGTTATACAGCACAATTGCTGCAGCAGCAGCATAACTTTAATGTACAATCTATACTTAAAAAACATATTATTCATCTTACTGCTCCTCCTCCTCCTCCTGCTGCTCCTGCTGCTGCTGCTGCTGCTGCACCTGCTGCACCTGCTGCTGCTGCTGCTGCTGCTGCTGCTGCTGCGGATGGTGGTTGTGGTGGTGGTTGTGGTGGTGATAATACATCAATAGGATCAGGAGAAGGAGGAGAATCAGGAGCAGCAGGAGCAGCAGCAGCAGCAGCAGCAGCAGCAGCAGCAGCAAAAAAAAAAGA